TGTCCTGGTGACCATAGTCACCTGTGGTGAAAGTGATATAAATCCCATTGTTCTGGTGACAACTCTCTAAGGTAGACATTTATTTATTCACTTCCAATTGTGTCTACAGGAGAGAATGTTAAAATAAATCTCAAATGAGACACAGATGGCAAAAAAAAAACCTGCCGGAAGTTTTAATCAATCCCCACGCTATTCAAAATGGAAACAAGTTCTGCCTTTACTTAGTAAAACAACAATGGAGCCTCTTGACCATGTCTGTATGTTTTAAGTATTGCGTTTCAGCCACATAATTTGCTGTTTGGCTATTTGCATTAACGAGCATGTCTATAAAGTTACCACTGAGTGTATGTTTCAGTGACCTGACAGCAGTAAACGGAAATCTAATTGGTGGCTCTCCCCGTTGCTGCTTTATTGAAATTACTTGAATATGTGACACTGGTGAGCTGAAATAGGAGCATCTCATTATGGTTACCAACCAAATAAAAAGAATAAATAAAAGACTCCTGTTAAGTCAGGCGGAATTATAATCTAATGAATAGCAGATGGGGATGGATCTCTCTATGGCACGTATGGAGTTTCACATGTAAATGTCACCACTCTATTTTTAGAGACGTCGGACTGTCTTTTGTCTGCGATTCGTGATCTATGAATATGAAGTAGATTGTTCTATGCCGTCCACAAACTGAGAGCCGTCTTCTAATCAGTACTGTCAGGCCCTGGCAGGGTTTTCCTGTTCTCTGTTAGAGAAAATTAACCTTACTGGTGCAACTGTCAGGAAGACTAGGCCTTGAAGAGACAGAACAAATGAAAACAAACAAAAAAGGAGAAAAAAAAAGATAATGCCATGCGTCCACAGGTACAGCTAGAGTATTAAGAGTTGGTGTGTGAACCTTCTTTGTCATCAGCCTAAGGTCTGCTCATGTGTAGTCTACAGCATGTTCAACCTTCACCAAGAACTCCTCCAATAGCGTATGAGGTTTCAAAACGTTCCAGTATCCAGTGCGGATGTGTGCAGCCACATAACTGAAATTAAATATCAATACAACAGACAAGAGCAAAGTCTATGATCAAGCGTAAGTTAGGGCAGGAGGAGTTCAAGCAGAGGTGAGGACAAGCAGCAGATAAAGAATGGAAGGTCATCACTACAATAGAAGTAGGAATCAAGGATTGGAATACTAGAGCCAGACCAGGATAACATTTTTTGCTTAGGCACAGTTCCTGTGCATTAGACAAAAGTCATAGCTGCCACCAGTGATGTCAGAGGCATGCTGGTTTGTCTCTTCTGCACTTTGAAGACTATGTTGACAGGAGGAAACTGCAGAATGACAAAGAGAGGAGCTCATCGGTCTGCTGCTTTTCCTATCACTAGCCAGTCACAGGCTGGGGGAAGGGACAAAACCAGTAAGTGTAACCTAACTTCAGCAGAGAGAAAAAAACGTTTCATACCCCACATGACAGGATTGTGATGTGTGGCAGAGCAGTGCAAATCTCAGGACTGGATCTAGAGACATACAAATACGTTTGGCAAGTAAAACAGCTTGATATATGTATTACACCTGTCTTTTTACCTGTTCGGCTGGAGTTCATCTTTAACATCTATCAAGATGCGCAAAGGAAAACATCTCACAACAGGTGGGGGGATCTCTAGACATCTGCACTTATTTCCTGATGATACTCTCTATGGTTCAAATTGTATATAGTTTTACTTTAAAGGAGAACTATGAGGTGAGTGAAAATCACTCAGCCTCATAGTTCGAGCCGACGTGTGACAATGAAACTGTCACACGTCGGCTCAATAGATCGGGAAGTGAGCAAACACATACTGTCGCTCACTTCTCGATCCTGTGCCTGCAGAGAGCCGTGACTGTCACTCACGGCTCTGTGCAAGGATTCTCCCCCTCCCCTGTCCGATCCTCCAGCGCTGACTGGTGGAACGGATGGGGAGGGGGCGGGTACAGCTGGCTCTGCCTCTAGATAGGCAGAGCCAGCTGTCACTCACGCATCTGGGTGAATCCAAACAGTATTGTCGGGATCCGTCCCGGATGCGTCGTCTCAGCATACTGCAAGCTGTAGCTCGCGGTATACTGAGCTTTGGGGAACCTCCGCTTCATTAAAGGAGAACTATGGGGTCAGGGCTTTTCCCCATAGTTCTCCTAAGGGTAACGGGAGGACACAAACTAGCGTCCTCCCGTTACCCTTAGGAGAACTATGGGGAAAAGCCCTGACCCCATAGTTCTCCTTTAATGAAGCGGAGGTTCCTCTTTACTTTTATGCACAAGATTCATATAGTTTTATCAAGACATAGGTTAAAAATAGATTTAGTTGCTTCATAATGTAGCATATTGAGACATCCCTAGCTCTGCAGCTGTTGTCCTATTTATTTTAACAACAAAATGTATTGTTATATATATGCTCAGTTCAGCTCAGACACAGCAGAGACGGAAGCTGTAAACCCACAGATCATTCTTGATAGCTATAAAACCATCTCTGCCTCTTGAAAATAAAAAGAACACAAACATTTCATGCGCTT